CACACACACACCATCAGGCAGGGCAGTCCAACATCACACACACACACCCCCCACCAGACAGGGCATCCCCACATCACACACACACACACACACACACACACACACACACCCCGCCAGGCAGGGCGGCCCCAGCATCGCACACACAGCGCCCCACCTGCTTGCAGGGGGAGTGAGGCGTGTCCTGCGTGACCCCCGCCCCAGGAGAGGCCTCGACAGCCTGAGCCTGACGTCCCTGGACTCGGGCGCAGGCACCTTTCCCTTGCCTGATTTTACTCGGTATCCTCTCCTGTGGGAAGTCATAGCCGTGAGTACCACCACCTGCGCGACCTGTGGCCTCCTGGAGTATCACCCCCCTGGGTGGTCTTGGGGACCCTGACACAGGCCCCAGGCTGTCCTTTGCAAGCGAGGACAATGCTGTCCTCGGACAGTACTGGGTGCATTTCTGGTGGCACTTCCTTTGACTCCTGCTTCAGAGCGGGTGGAGACAGAGAAGGAGGCTGTGAGGCCTGGGCATCGTGGGTCTCATGAGGAGCAGAGCCGTCCTGCACCCTCTGGTGGCCACAGAGGCTGTGGCCTGAAACTCTGGCATGAGTCTGGAGCACCAGCTGGAAAGGAATTAGCCCCTCCATGCCCTGCCTGGCACTCTTCTGCCCCTACCCCAGCCCCAGTGCAGAGGTGTAGGGCTGCAGAGACCCACAGGGTCGTGGGGTGTCCCTTATGCCATGTTGAGGTGCAGGATCTGAGAGGTAAAGAGACAGGGCACTGAAGAACTGGGGAAGAGCATCTGGACTCGGGGGCTCGCCACCTGTGAGCGGAGATCAGCGGCGGCCCCCAAATGCCCAGAAGCATCTGTGTTTATTAGGTACAAGCAGGAGGCAGGGTCGTGAGTGAGGCCATCATCTACAGGCTTAGTAATAGGGCATACATAATCACGTGAGTCACAAGCAAGTGGACCACCCCATATGTCACCTGGGCCGAGAGGTGGGCTGTGCGCAGTAGGGGTCCGTGCCATGCGCAGTAGTAGAGGGTCGTGTACAGAAAAGGGGTCCACCCCCCTTAGGTCACTGAGGCAAGGAGGTGGGCTGTGTGCAACAGGTGTCATGCGCAATACTTCTTATCTGGGGCTGGAGACTTCAAAGGATTTCTAATAGAAGGATACTGTAAGCCAATGCAGTGGGAGCTGACAGACTTGTGCTCTTCTCTTAAGATATTTATGGGAGGATGATTTGAGCTAGCACAGAAGTGAGAAAAGACTGACAGGGTGTACAGCCACTGTGACTGGTCACACCAGAGGGATTCTTCTCCCTCAGTTACTTCCAGGATCTCAGGCCTGAGGCCTACTTTCCACAGGAACTGGATGCAAGGTGCTACAACTCCTTTATCAGGAGGAGAGGCTCCTGCTCCAAGCCTGCCATACAGCGTATGCCCTTTCAGGCAGGGACGCCACCGCCTGCGTCTCTGCTTCTTGTCCTGGTCCTGCTGTTTTCCCATGTACTGCTTCTGTTCTGTGACTGCTCTAGGCATTCCTCCTAGTACAAACTACTATACGGTTGTATGGAAGGATTCTATAAATCAGCACTAAATGTGTCAGTACAGTTCCGACTACAATACCTATATGATCATATAGAAAGATTATATGGAACTAAGTATGTTAGATATAAGTATTAAGTTCGTCTGTAAACTAAACTAGACATATAAACTAGTTTAGTATATAAACTAGGCATATGTAAGCAATAAGTTACACTTCAAGTACTAACTAATACATGATTATATATGAAGGATTACATAAAGGAAACTGCTGAGCAATGACACTACAAACTAAGATATTCTTCAGGCACCAGTTGGGCCTGGGGTCTGGGCAGTTCTTCCTCGGTGCCCAGGGGAGTTGTTACCCACACAGAAGAAGTGAGCCAGGCTTCCCTCTGGCACCAGGGCTGCACCCTGAGTCGGGAGCCAGGGCTTGCCTCACTGGCTCCCCTCTGGCTCTCCAGGAGGCACCAGGAGACCACATGGTGAGGCCCCCAGCTACAGGCACCTGAATCCCACAGACGGCAAGACGCAGGGGCCTTGCTCAGAGAAGCACATCCTCCTCTGAGGATCCCAGACTCGGTTCCTCTCCTAGGGTGTGGCCCCAGCAAGCATCCAGACATGTGAGCCTCTGTGCTAACACACCCCTGCACGCCAAGGTGAACTTCAGGGAGGTGTGCTGTGGAGGCGAGACATCAAGTTCCTTTCCAAGGGCAACAGCTGGAACTTCAGAACCTCCTGCAGAGGAAGGGCGTGCCAGCACACTGGGCGGAGGGAAGTGGCCTCCTCCCAGGGGCCATTCCTGGCCGCAGCACAGAGGCTGATGGTGGCTGAAACTGCCCTTTGTCACCTGGACATTCACCATCTGCCCCCGGTCAACAATGCCTACTGCCCTCGTTGGTGGAAGAACCAATGTCTCATAAAAAATGCAAAAGGCACAGATCATTAGAGAAAATACTGACAATCCGGAATGTGGTAAAATGCACACAAAAGCACAAGTCTTGTCCCAGAGAAGCCACCTGTGGGGCATTGCAGGGAGACTGCGGGCTCACTGTCTCCCTCCTGGGCATGTGGGCTGGCAGCTTCCAGCCACCTGCCGTGAATTAGGGCCACACGATGAGTTTCTATTGGCTAAATGTGGCGGGGAGATGTCTGCACTTCTGGGCCACAGATTCTTGAAGCCCTTCTGCTTCTCCTCCTTGCCAGGCTATCTTGAAGGCTCACATGCCAGAAAGTGGGTCTGCATGGTAGGGGCGTGGCATACTTGGATGGCAATGTGAGGAGTAGGGAAGGCTTTGCTGGCTTCAGCCACTGACGTGTTGACTTTGTTGGTTTCTGAACCAGCACTGATTACCTTCACCAACAGCATGTAACAGGCAAAGGATTCAAATTCAGAATGTATAAAGAAAACATAAAAAGAAATGAATAAAAGAGATGGAAATATACCATTATAGGATAAGATGGCCAATGGCCAAAAATCCTAGGACAAGATAGCCAATCTCACCAACAATCGAGACACCATGCACAAAAATTAACTAGGGGCCAACCCAGACTTGAATGTCTAAGATAAAGTCCTGAGCTGTCTATATAACATCATATCATCAGCAGAGACAGTCTCGTTTCTTTCTTTCCTATTAGAGTGCCTTTTATTTCTTTTTCTTGCCTAACTGCTCTGGCTAGAACTTCCAGCACCACATTAAATAGAAGCGACAAGAGTGAGCATCCTTGCCTGTTCTTGATCTTAGAGAAAGAGCTTTCAGCTTTT